AACACCTTCTTTGTCATGAACGCTATATCTCCCGTGCTTTGAAGCCGACCACGGGCCCATCTCCACTTCTATATAAAGAGGGAAGCCGTCAGCCCGACTTCACCAATCATTGAATTACATTTATCCAACAAGCGTCTCTAAACTCGAATCAATGGGTCTTGCGCACCTAGTTGTGATAACTACTTTTCTCGCAGGCTATGCAGACACGGCTGTATGGAGCAATACAGCAATGCCGTGAGTGCCGTGCATTCCATACTGCGAAGGTGCTATAGATGGGCTTCGATGATTGGCTGTCGTCTTGAAACCATAAGCTAATGTATGCAAGGAGCCTCTCCTCACTGTCTGCACGACAAGCCGATATTTCAACCGTGCAAAACAATTGGTTGTTGTTTGAAAGACCTGAATGCAAGGCCCGGTTTAATGCAATGCAGTTCTCCACACTGTCTCCACAGGCTGGGAGCAGCCAGTCTTGACCGCGAAACCATGTCTATATAACCCCCTGCCTCATTCTGAGACGTAACAGCATCAACATCAAAACCCATCCTCACGCAAGACCACTCCAAGACCAATCTCAACCTCTACATTTCCCGGTCCGCTCTACCCAATTATCCTCCATCGACCTCACGTCACATTTACCCTATCCATCCCAACCCTCATCACCATCTGCAGTGCGTCCACATACCCTCCTCGTCCTCGCCCTCGCCCTAACTGCCCTCATTACAACCGTCATTGGCGCCCCTGCTCCCGCTCCCGAAGCCATGCCCGAGGTACCAGAGATCCAAGGGCTGGCGGAATTGATTGCTCGCTCTTGCAAGCCTCGTGGGAGTCCTAGTCCAGCGCCTGCGATATGTTGTTCTTAAGTTGAAGTTGGAGGAGGTTTGGGGCAGAGGGAATGAAGGGGAAGAAAGGCAGAAAGAGACGCGGATACTTTGTGTGCAGGTGAAATCGTGTCCGATACGTGATGGTCTTGGCGCTGCTTCACGAGGGCTTTCCACATATTTTTTGGGGGGCTTGAAATGTAAATGCGATCTAACGGTATTGATCAGTGGATTTCAAAGATTCATTGCTTAGAGTGCTATTTAGAGTGTTGTGCCGCGAGGCAGTGCAGGGGCGCAGAGAACGGGATCTACGTCCTAAAGTCGGGTCGATGGAGGGAGATTGAAGCCGTGACAATATTTTTCAGCGTGCAGACATAAATCTATTGTCATGTGACTTGGCTTCTTTGGAGTGCTTCGAATACTTTCAAAAATTGAGGATCGTTGAGAGAGTACTCCTCACGTCCCAAATTTGAGGTTCGCCGGAGAAGCAAGGAAGTAATCCCCACAAATAGGGTCCTTCAAAAATTGAGGTTCGAGCCTCTTATTTCTTCCTGGCGTTGATGTTGAGAGAGGAGGGGGCGGGAGGGTGAAAGGAAGGTGGCAGGAGGAAATGGTGGAAAGGGGGGCGACATATGCTCATAAATGTACCCACCCTCCCACCGATCCTCTCAAACTGACGCCCCTCCTATAAATATAAGCTGGGAGGCATGCTTTAGCATGTAACAACCTATAGTAAGGGTCAGTTGGAATGGAAAAGGATTAAGAGGGAATTTCTCCGGCTAATCCTCGGTTAAACTGAAGCTTTAGTCCTAAGCATAATCGTGGGAGCATTGTGCCTGTATGCCAACAGCATGTGCGCCACCTCCCGATCTATTGATCTATACCAGAGACGTCTCTTGGCGGCCCAATTATATAGACCGTCGCTTCCATTCCCATAGCCAGCGTGCGAGATGACTCCACCTTGAACTGTTTCACAATGTCTCGAAGGAACTTTAGATTAGGAGTAAGCCTCATCGCATCGTAGATCCATGCCAAAGCTCGAACATTTAGGATTTGAGGGTGATGTTGCCACTTGGCCTGATACGTAAACCTCAAACAACAGCTGCGTTAGTCCGAAAAAGAAAAGAGTAATTGAATGCCACTCACTGTAGAAAGTGAGTCCAAAAGCTCGGGTCCTTTTCGAGTATCCATTTTTTTGGATTTCCAGCAAAGACCTCGCCAGCATTGGGTCGCCAAGACTTTAGAAATTGGTCTAGAATCCATATCGCCTCAGCTGAACGCGGGGGATAAGCTGACGTGCCTGGTCCGATGTTAATTTCGGTTTGCGCAGAAATAAGAGCCTTAATGGGGACAGTGAAGTATGCTCTCGGTAAGTAATCTTGGTCAAGAGAAGGAAGCTTGCAAGCAGAGAATTTTGCTAAACTTGAAGCGCAATTGAGGTCGGTCTCTCGCTCCCATAACTGCCAAATCTTTTGACCTGCGAGAGGGTCATTACCCGTTCTCCATGCCCGAATCATGCGAGCCAGATCGAAGGTAGCGTTACTGTCTGTTCTCAAGCTTTTACAAGTCTGCCCCTGTTCTGTACGAATGTCTATGCCATCGGGAGTGCTAAATCACACATTAGATTTAGTGATACGAGGAAGTTCAGGGGTCATATTACTCATAACCAGATGTACCGCAAATCATCTTCGTCTTTAGGTATTGTTGATTTTGGGACATTTAATTTGATAGAATAGTGTTCTCTTCTTGGAGACTCGATATCTAGATATGCCGTGTTCTTACGCGATATACGAATGCGATGACCGTTCAATGACTTTCGATAGACCGCATTAGGCAAAGGGGACATTCTCATAGCCTCCGCTATAGTCATAAAAGTAGACCAAGTCGAGATTGCTGAGTTGACTATATCACGGCGCTCCGCTTAAGACAGTGGGAGAGCAGTGGTATTAGGATGGCGAGGAGGAAGCCATTCGGCCAGAACGGACTTGAAGTGTTCTTCAGGTGAATGAGAGCCACCCTCACCCACTTGGTTAGCCCTGGCCTCCTACTTGGCCTTTCCTGAGCGAGGTACGTGAATATGCAGATCATCAAGTCCGGAGGACTATAGCAATTGAATCTGCTGAGTTCTGACTGAGGAGCTTTTCGGGCCTTTCGCAACTCCGCATTCTACTATACGCCGCTTTCAAGCATCAGCGAGAGTACTAGGGTCGATTTTGGAATTCGCCTACCACGGCCTGCATTTGTATAGGGCCAAATTCCTTCAAGCCTACTTTCAGCCGGGGTTCCAAGAGCTTTTGGCGGTTAGCTCTGGCATCCCCGAGAGCTTGGATTAGCTCTGCCTTTCTTTTCTCCAGCTCAGCAGACACCCCCGTCTTTTCGAGCGTTTCATGGACGCGCAACATAATCTCACCCAATCTTTGCAGGCGTGTCTTTGTTGAAGCTTTGGTGAATTCTTCTCCAGCGATTGAGACAGTCAAGAGAACGATCCACAATGTGATTTCCAAGTCCTGTCGTGTTGACACGTGGTGAGGATTATACATGTCCATCCCAGGATGAATGCACGAGATCATGATAGCCCAGGGCTGTTTCTCGTCATCATCGTAGTTGACAATTTCCAACTTCCCACAAAGCTCAATTCGTCTTCGTATCAATGGAAGACTGGCCAACATTCTGAACTTGTGAAGAAGCGCTGCGACAGCTCTAGACATACTGTTATTAGAGGGTCCGAAATTCCCATGTATTGTCCGATAAATGAGAAGGCCTCTTTGGCGTCATAATGTTTGAGCCAGTTCCATACATCAACAACTGGGATTCGACACTTGGTACTACCAGTTTTTGCATCGTCTTCGTTGGGGATCGATCTGTCATTCTCCCATGCTGATAGTCGAGAGAGGGATTTCTTTAATAGGGTGGTTGCTGCACTTCCGCCATCCCAAAATCCATAAGCCTCAATGAGTTCTAGCATTGGAGCATGCTCGGCTACGAAAACGAGTAGACTGAACTTTTCGAGTATGACAACAGGCAGTCCTTGACTTAGAACCCGGTTTCTGTATGCGTCGGAGAACGGAATTCTGTTTGTACCGGTCAAGTCTGCGTTTTCGTTGGCATACGCCTGCATCCTTTCCGTCCAATGCTGCAAGGCCCTTCGATGTTGAGCTCTTTCATCACATTTGTCTAGCAGCTCAAACGCATTTGTCCTCAGGGAGAGAAACAATGACTTTTCGTGGCTCGAGGGGACATAATCATTGAGAAACCCACCATGTTGCTTATTCAGCAATGAGAGATGGCCAAACAATGCGATCAATGATTTTTCCTTGAGATCTCCTGATGGTTCTGAGACAAGGTCTTCCAGAGTGCTGTCAACGAATCCATAACACGTGCATAGCTCTTCAGGAGACTCAAAGAAATCATACAGGCTTCTTAAGAACGTCGGTAGAAGCCCAAACGTGCGATTCTTGTCTTCGATGTACCGCTCGATGCCAGTACGAGTTGTCATACCGATGTACCGAATGAACATAAAATCACTAGGGTCCAAAGACTCTGTTATCTTTGCCCACTCGATGCTTTCGCTGTAGTAACGGCCCTGGTATTCCCACTTGGCGATAATGTAGTGAAGCTGTTTCACTTTCAGCTTGTATGTGCGGACGAATTCTTGACCGATTCCCTTAATTTGAAGAGGCGTTTTAGCTGATCGTCAGACACTTGGATTGGCTCCTGCAGTAATCTGCGCCACCAATCTGAATTTTTCTGCGACGTCGGTAAAAAGAGTAGGATATTGGGATGGAGGCTTGAAACATCGATATTTTGGTTCCGCAACCTCCTCCTAATCTCGAAATAGATCTTTGCACGCGTAGCCTTGGAGTCTTTCCAAGGGTCTTGCAGGTTGGTTGTAACACAAACTAGTTCTTAGAATGGCGATTGTGTATGATTAGGTTTCACTGAACCATAAAACTCAATCAATCAAATGCGAGAACATGAGTGTTGTTGACATATATGTTTGATTGCATCCGTAGAATATACTACGCTAACGTTGGTGAGGGTAGAAGACGGTTGATTGGAGTGGCTCGGCTACCTAAACTACTAAATGACTAAGCTACCAAGCTAAATCCTCCCTCTACTACGTTTAACTCGTTTAACTCTCGGAAAACCTGCAGGTGGTAGCGACAAGCAAAAAAACTCAATTGCTGTGAGCAAGGTTCGAACTTGCGCGGAATATTCCATCTGTTAATCTGACTTAAGACAGACGCCTTAACCACTCGGCCATCACAGCTCAATTAGGGAATGACGGTAAAAGCTATTACATATTTTGAACTTAAAACGACGTGATTAACTCATAAATTACATCAATATATATTTTCAGGTACCGAGGTGGCCGAAAAGAGATGGTCTGGCAGCTGCTTTAAGCAGCTCAAGTACCACGCAGGCTGGTTCGGAGATCGGCTGAATTAAACACCGATGACCTTAGCGCTAAAAAAAGGCACCGCCGAGGACCCCTGTCGGATCCCTGCTGGAATCTTCGCGCATTGCCTTTCTGGCTCTCCCCCTCCAAACCATCGTTCCTTCCTTCAAGCAAGTCTCTGTGAGGCAACGAACATAAGTGAGGCCTGGAGCCCACCTCTTACCCTCATTTCGTTCATCCCCTCATTTCCATCAGTGAAGCAGGACTTCACTTATATCATTTGCCCGCGCCGCTATCATCCTTCATCCCAGTGACCACCTCGCAGTCAACCCTAGAGCCATCTTGACCTGGGATTCCCTTTCTTGGCCCCCTGCTCGTTCGCCACAGCAGTCATACATCACTCAGGTCAACAGTATGGGACGAGCACAGCGCAAAAAGGGCAGGTTACCACCGAGCTTTTACATTGAGCAGCGCGCACAGCTCGCCGCACAAGGGAAGACTCAGCCAAAGGTTGCTGACAACACGACCAAGAGCCTGGCATCAGTGTTGAAGAAGTGGAAGAGGAAATTCATCTTCCATCGAAGTCTGTGGTTGCCGTCGCTAATGAAATCACTATCTGGGTTTTGCGGCGAACTTGGCTACAATCCTGGAACTTTCCTCGAAGACGCACAAGTGCCAGACTTCAAAATATTTTGGAAATGGACGATGGATCGCTACAACAGAATCGGCGTGGCTTCAAGTTTGAAGAACTACTGGCGGGTTCTGAGAATGCATGCCCTCGACAAGGCGGATCGAGACTTCGATCCACGCGAGAGAAGGGACATCAAAAATGTGAGATGCTGATTCTTGCGGGCTTGGGAAGCTCCACGCTGACGTCTCGGATGTGCCAGTACATCAATGTGCTCATCGATGAGTATGGCCTTCGCACCACGCCCAAGAAGAAACCGGTCATCGGCCTTGACGATCTCTACCTTCTCCTCTACACACATTGGATGCTCGATGATTCGACATTTAAGGATGAGCGGCAGCGAGTTCAAGTTGCCACCGGTTTACTTATGGCCGCTTTTTTCGGTTGCCGACCGTGTTCATTGTTCGACACTCGAGTCAAGCTCGACGAGCCCGATGACTCGGACGTGCCCACCGACGACACAGCGGTCGCCAGTGCCCAAAGGGCCAGAAAAGCTGCGAACGATGTCAAAATGGACGAAAGCAATCACGCGAAGAGCCACCGGGATGGTGATACTGGAATGTCTATCGATGCTGCCCTCAAAGTTGACCGCGATTCCAACACCGCCTGGAATGGCGATAGCGACAGCGACAGCGATTCCGGCTCGCTTTATGTTTGCGATGAGGATTGCGACACCGACGACGATTGTGATGCCGGACCCGAAGAAACTCGATCGTTCCTGTATCGCCATTTCACCATCAGCATCGTTGCCAATCCAACCCCCGGGAAACCCAACCTGGTCTTCATGAAGGCGACACTTCTCCACACCAAAGGGGAAGACAACAATCCACGAATGTGAGCAAAGCTGCATGCCACCCGTCCCCTCCAACTGACGCTGATCCATGGCTGACCTACATACTTTGCAGAAAAACGTTGGTCATCGGTGGAGGAGACGATGATCCGCTGTTCTCCCTCCTCGATCACTTTATATCTCTCGCGGTGCGCGGTGATGCTTTCGAAGCTACGTCCGCGAAAAACGTCGAGAATATGTTTCGGGTGCAGATACCGCCAGGCAGGAAGAGCTTGACGTTGAAATGGAAACGTCAAGTTCTGGATCTTCCGGTCTTCCGTGAGCCGTTGCGCGGTGCGGGTGCAGTGGGCACGTCGCCAACGGCACCTTTGCGTGCGAGCACGTGGATCACTTACCTCAAGCGTCTCGGGCAGAAGGCGGGCTTCGAACATGCTTTCACCCAGTATGGGCTCCGACGTGGCCTCCTGAATGTCGTCAACAGTACGTCTGGCCTTGATTCCCGCTTCCTATTTGCTTCCAAACTATCGGTCCAATACTGATCCCATACGCTATCTATAGACAGCGCTCCCGCGTCTGTCCGGGATCAACTCTTTGACCACCAGCAAGGAGCAGTCGGTTACTATCTGGACCAGGAGATCCGGCTTGACACTGAATCCTGCTACCTCGGGAAGCCATCCAACGAGGTGGTCCAAAAGATGGCCAGGCTTGCTAGTTTGACGGCCGACGCGAGCGCCCCGATGGAGCTGTCGTCCGAGCAGAAGACCAAGTTGAAACAACACTCTCAAGTGATTCACCTCGGCCAACGAAACAAAGCTCTGACGACGCGCATCCACGCCACCGGATACAACACCATCGGCGATGCCAAAGGGACTCCCCTTTTTAATAAGAAGAAAAAGGCCGAAGCCCGGTTGAGTTGTTTCAAAATCAAACTACGAAATCACATGATCGTGCAAGCCCGCAAACGACACTTCCGGAAGGCTGATACTCTGGCTTTTGACGCTCAATTTACCGCGACCGCAGCCGCTCACATGGTTACACCAGACACCCACCCCGCGAAGCCGATCGAATACAACATCCCCGAGCGAGCTGAGGTGGTCCGACTGACCTGCAGTCCTGGCGATGGTCTGAGCGATCGAGAAAAGCTCCGGCGGAGAATCCAGGTCATCGAAGCCAGAGCGGCTTTATGCGATCGGCGGGAAACCCAGCGCCGCGGTCGGCCCAAGTCCACTGTCAAACAAGAGGAGTCGGAAGGTGCGGTGAATGAGTCCGAAGAGGACGCGAACGCTGATTTCCCTATGGTCTGCCGGCCCACCCAAAGTCTGTTCCGCCTGGGTGACGAAAGGCTATCCTACCAAGGTCGGGTCTACGAGTACGCCAAACCCAACAAGATGATGAATGAGGTTGAGAAGCACTTGAAGAAGTACACCCCCAAGGATCAGGTCCCGTGTCCGCACCCACAGTGCAAGGCAGCGGACTGGTCCTGCCCAGTGTGATGGGTTTCAAGAATCATACGGCGACGGTGCACAAAATCTTTTTGCGTGCGTAGACCCCTCTCGCGTCCTGCATTTCGTTCCTCGTCACATGTTTCTTCTCAGCGATAGTTCAAAAACTAATACGTCCATCCTTGGTGTACCTCTATCAGCTTGCTATTGTTGACGTTATAAAGAGATGATAATATCTATTAAGATTTGTCTTTTGAAATGTGATAAGCCTGATGACACCACAGTTGCGCCTGTCAAGGTCCCTTCTATAAATTGAAGAGAGCTTGAGTATAATGCAATGCTTCCTTGTATATCCGGAGCGAAAGATCGCGAATCATACGAGGACTACAGCGAGGTCTTCCTTTGTCACGCCCGGCTCTCAAGAGACCTTTCTCGGGGAAGGCGGTAGGTGGCACGTTTAAGTATCGCTCGGCATGGTTCACAGCAAAGTAGTGGGCAACTTGACCCTTCACCGTCATTGTCTTCGCCTTCCAGAAAAGACTCGGCTGTTCTCATGTAGTCGTGCTCGTAATTTTTACTTCACAGAATGGTACAGGAGGTTTGTAAATGGTCAACTCTGTTAGAGAGGCGACGGAAACGTCGATTAAGATCTTGGTTGGCGGCTTGAAGACGCTGATCGATATCGATATTATTGACGTTCTGAATGAGGTTCTCAAGACGTAGGTTGAGATTGTTGACATTCTGAATGGTGTTTTCGAGGCGTAAGTTGAGGTTATTGACATTCTCATTGGTGGTGTCGAGTTTCTGGCTGAGGTTGTTGACACTCTGATTAACATCATGAAGCCGCCGCTCGAGATCCTGGTTGATACCTTCAAGGCGCTGATTAACGTCATTTACGCTTTGACGGGTGATGTCGAGACGGTGACTGAGGTTGTTTACATTCTGATTGGTGGTGTTGAGATCTCTACTTAGGGCGTCGAGACGCTGATCTAGGGCACCGGAATCCAATCTGATCTTATATCATTATTGCAATAGTCCATATGCATTAGATTTGTTAAGGTCGTCTTACCATTCTGGCGTGAGATCAATTGTCTACACTCAGCGTCTTGGCTACTCCGATCGGCCCGTCTAACAAATTCTTCAAAAGACAAAGAAATTTGATGTAGACCTACTGCCGCGAATTTGTGAGGCGGCGATTCTAAAGTCGAGCAGAGTGTGTGGACAATTGATTGCCTGTTATCTTCTGGCCATCCTTAAGACGCCATACAACATAAAGGTGACCTTGCATGTTGAATACCATGCGGCTCACTCTCACTGGTGAGTCTGAGATGAGCCTGCAGATTCACCTGCTGCGGGGTAGAAAACTGCTCGACAGGTCTATGGGACACCTGAGCTTCGTGAACTGCTGGTAAAGTCGGAGATCTATGATACGAGCGAAGGTAGGTTGGTGCAGTGCGTCACCTACCTCGGCACCGTCTCCGTCCAATGAAACGCTTGATCCGCTATTCATCCAGGTGCCAAGCTTTAAAAAAGAGCAATATAAATCAGGCACCCACGGAACTAAGACAGAAAGGTGAAGGCTTACCAGAGATCTGGTGCAAGCGCTGCGGACGTATGATCCCGTGAGCCGGAATGAAGATGCAATATATCTCCACTATTCACTCGCCTAGGTCAAGAACAATCTCTCAACCGTCACACGGGAACGAAGGGGTAGGGCTCCTAAAGGAGTAGAGTACTTTCTATATCATCGAAAACGTATCTAACGGCTGGTTACAAAAGAGTCAAGAAGATATTCTGCCATTAGCGAAGTCTATTAGCCGCATCAGCAGGATTTCCATTTACTCCTTCAATTTTCGTATTTTGGCGCCCAAGAATAGGTCTCTATAGGGGAGTTCACAAAAGTATGTCTAACTGGACGGGATAGGGGGGAACTAATCCCCCGGTCTTCGTT